CTCCCCATACATCAACAAATATTGTTAAAACCTGAGAATTAACCAACAAAATAATGGATTTTTTCCTTTTAAATCATGCTCACGTGAGAGTGTTGGCTATTGTTAGAAATCATATGATACATTTAAGAGACATACTTTTGCTCCTATTAAGACTATTTATGAAAGCCATTTTTAATTCTGAGTAAAATTTTATGAAATTTTGTAACATATTTCACTTAACAATAAAATTTATGCACATGATTATTAAAATGCCAAATCATGTCTTGTTCTTGCAGAATATTTATCTCAAAGTTTTTACTCAGTCCCATCGAGTTCGAGATAACAAGGTTTGACTGTAGTTATTTAAATAAACAGACAAATACTGATAGCATGCCTTAATCTATAGCTCCCATCACTGATGTATTGCAAAACATCATTAATATTCAAGAATTTGGTTTTAACTAGGACATTATTATTGACTTCAATATATACGGCAGGGAAATTTTAAAAGTGAACCAGAGTAAGAGATTGATCACTTCCATTGACATCACGGCTCTAATATCAACATTTTCAAAACTTATTCATATTAGCGGACAAAAAATCCATGCACTTTGCAGAACTTGTTTTTCAAAAACTAGAATTTCAAATAACAATGTTTACGAAATATAGAAATTTAAAAAAGGAATCATTAATCTTGATGGAAACCTTGAACACAGAGACAACATATCATTTTAATCCTAATGATATGTATTTATGAAGATTAATGTTTTCTGGCTTTAGGACTTTAATATGCATTTGCTTTCTGAACCTCAAGCAAGGTGGAACCTAACATTCTATCTTCTTATGGGTGTTGGTCTTGAATTTTGTCATTAATGTTACAATGACACAAATATTTATACATTTTTTGAGGTCTTGTTTCCTTGTAAACAAATATTTATTCCCTTATATAATTCCAACTTCTGTTTTTAAAAAAAAAATTCTATGCACCATGACTGAAAAACTACTAAAGGTATTCATATAGTCTTTTATATGCATCACCATTTTCAATATGCATCAGTAATACGAATACTAATTTCAGGACAAATACATGTACTTCAATGCTAGATTTAAAGATTATTTCCTCTATTAATTAATTATAAAATATGCTTTATAAATAAAGAACAATCACTTAAATAGTTCAGCTGAATTTATAAAATATATAATCCTGTTTGACACCAAAAAATGCATTTTCCAAGAAATCTACGAAATACCGGTGGTTTCCCCCTAGCTTAAAACTATGTCAGCTTGAGAATGGCATGTTTAACAGCACCATCAATTCACCACTGACAGTTCTCTTCCAGTCTTCTGCTCATCTGGTGACAGTCACTGAACAACAAAATATTGTAAACAGGAACAACATTCCAGGACCTGATTTACCACACACCGGTAAATCAACGAAATAGTAGGTTATATCGATAAAATTCCAGTGGATTTTCCTATGTATTTTGTTAACATGATTGCTGTTGAACTAATGACAATTTCTGTTCTATTAAGAACACTTTTATCAGTTAAAAGATTTCATGATTTGATTTTATTGAGCACATTTTCAAAATTGAAGACAATTAAATCACTTTGAAATTCATATGACTAGCTTTAATTTGCAAAAATGGCTTGTTAATTTAACATCTGTTTTTTTGGCATCAGACATCAATTCATTATCAAATTACATCACACTTTGATCCTTCTACATGATATTTGAATTTAATTACAGCTGTGTATTGCAGTGTTTGAAACTCACTGCAAAATTAGATAGACATGCAGGGCTGACTGCTAGTAAAAGTCGTCAGCCCTCAGGGTGCCAAAGATCTACTCGCCCAAGAAAATAATTGTCTTTTATAAATTTGTTTTTAACGATTATGTGACTTGAACCATGTCACCATAACTTCAAACCAGAATCTATAGACTGATGAATTCTTCCTCTTGGCTTGTTATACTTTGCTACATGTACCGATACTATTAGTTGATATGAAAGAGATTTATCAGATATATGAATTTTAATTACAAAAATTTTAACAGGTCCAGCTGGGCATTCAATACATGCAAATTTGTTTGCCCACTGCAAAATTTGTGCGTCTCGGGCGGTCGGGTGCACGGTTATTTCAAACACTGGTGTATTGTACAAATTAATTGCCAACAACACAAATACAATTGAGGCTTCATTCTCAAAGCATACTAATACAAAAAATAAATATGCCGTTTGCAAGATTATAATACATATACATGCTAACTAAGCACAGAATGTTACATTTATCCACTTGAAGATATTCTCAGATATCATTTCTAATATCTCTTATACTTCTAAAAAAGCATAAATTAGGAAGTTATTGTTTTCTGTCATATTTCTACATTAGTTTTACCAGTAAATGTGTTTTGGCCAAGCCAAGAACTCTATATGCTTCAAGTTCACTCATATTTTACCCAGGTGCAACTCCTGGTCAAGTATCTTATCAAGGACATCTTTTACATACATTACTTAGTATCCATCTGTAGACTACAGTTCGTGAATTCCAAGCATCTATCCAAAAGTTCAGAAACCCCAAAGACTACACAGAAGGTCAGAACCCCAAACAAATGTACTATGATAAAACACTAAACAGGTACTGTTGTGTGCAAGGAGTACAGTTAACTGCAGATGTCCTTGTTTATATTACAAACTCTGTCATGTTAATATTCTCAAATTACTTTGACTTAGTCTAGACATTGGTGGTTAGATCTAGTAGGCCTACTTCTTGTGACAACATGCATACGCTTGTTTCAATAATTATCCCATCTTTTCATGATGAGTTTTGTAATGGATGGAGTAGATTTAGTTGAATATTTCATTTGTGGTATATTTACATATATATTGTGACATATATACACATTTTTGATCACCTTCACTTGTATCTACACAACTTTGCTCATGATACAATAATACCTTCAGAACTCAAGTTTTCATATAGAAAAACAGGAACATTCCTTCAAAATCCTGAGCCGTCACAGTAGCTCAGTCGGTAGAGCGCTCTGTGATCGGAAGGTCATGTGTTCGAATCATGGCCGGCCGCAACTGACCAAAGTCGATAAAAAAATAGGTAGCAGCTGAAGTGAAAGTTGCATTTCTTTCAGATGGGACCTTAAAAACTGAGGCCCCATGTCACAGTAGGAGTTGACGTGATAAAGAACCCACATTGCTCAATGGCCCTGAGTGCCGAGTAAAGGTCTAAATTTGAAGCCCTTCACCGGTATATGGTGACGTCTCTATATGAGTGAAAAATTCTCAAACGGGACGTAAAACAATAAACAATCAATCAATCAAAATTCTGAAAACTTAACATTGGTGTTTGATTAAATATACTGACATTAGTATATAGATATTATTTCTTATACCAATAGATTTCCTTCATCTCTTGAGAAGAGGGGAGGGGGGACCTGAAATTTTCAGTATCATTCTTCTAAAGCATAAAGTGTCTCTCTTTTTTTAAACAATCTTTTGCTCTATCATTCACGAAAAATCTATTCTCATTGTGACAAAGTGCTTAGCAATTGTTAAATCTGTCAGTTTTCCAAAATATTTTGGATTTTCTGACAAAATATGTCTGGATTTTCCTTCCATGTACAATATATCAAATACAAAAACAAATGCAAACTCTTCTATCAAGTTTCCACCCTAATAAACATTATCCTATCTTGCATATAATACCTCAGTGAATAGAAAAACAGTTGAACAAGCACTTTAACTTCAAGGATGTAAATGAATTATTTCTTCATTTTTAAGGATTGTTGTTTTTGTCTTCTTTTTTTTTTCTGATTTACATTTCATTCAAATCGATAAAATGTGAATCAACTGCTCAGCGATCTTCAATGCAACATCTTGTGGAATTTCCATGATTCATACACCCCTCAGGAAAAAACTAACCAACATTATTGCTGCAGCACTTTACATAGATAGGCTAAAAATTTCCATTCAATGAAAGAAAAACAGGTACTTTAAACATCACTGTGGCACATATAACTCACTGTCGAAAATAATTCTTTAAACTGTTTATGTTTAAGAAATGAGTGAATTGAACAGTAGTTATTTTATATAGGCTAATAAAAAAAATTAATATAATTAAGGACTGTTTAAGTCAAGTAGTGTCCATGCAGTACAGCTAAGAAGTTGTAAATTTATATATATATATATATATATCTTGTTTACAAACAATAAAGCTTTCTGTCACTTCATCTTTATACAGAAAATTTGCTAACATACACAAAAAAACCAGGTCATCTGACCACAAACTGTCCAGGGGTCATTTTGTCCACTATTAATTGATCTCGTCCACCACAACAAAATTAGATGAAAAATTGGCTTCTTAACCACTCTGGGAAAGACAGCCAAGTATAAACACATATTTTCTGATGGGACAGGGAACCACAATAATGCATAGGACTACATGTAGATGTTTCCTCAAAAAGAAATTCACTATCTCAACATAAATGGTCTCAGACTATCTCCTTTTATCATATGAACTCTGCCATTACCTAGATTTGAAGAGCAATGAATTGCAGATATCAGCATTACAACTTCTTTTAATTTTAGCTGTTGTATAAGAATTACCTAAGTAATTCCATGTTTCTATATATTTTCCATCTTCCAATTCATCAACAATTGCATGTGTCACTCGGATATGACATCTTAATTGCAACAATATTTTAAGCCTGTTTGTAAAAATTCATAAATCGGAAGAAACCGTCGTCGCACAGGAGACATGATCAATAGCTTCTGTTCTAACCTTAACTTGTATGATCATACTACAAAAGGTTTTTCATGCATAATGCATGACAAAAGCAATTCATTTTTCACTGTCTTTTTCACACCATTTTGAAGGAGATAACGTCAATTTTCTAGTTGTTGTGGTTCTCCAAATGTGTTCCGCTCAATTAACATATGGATAGACTGATTGTTTAGCTTGATCCTGAAAAAGTAAGGTGCCGTGTAGTTGAGGGTTTTTTGTACCTACCTCAATGGTTTCCGGAGAAAAGTACTTGTTCTGTTCCCAGAGGTTCAATAACTGAAATGAGAAGCAGAAATAAATAAGTAAAATAAGATCATACTTCAGCCTTGTTCTGTCCCCAGAGGTTCAATAACTGAAATGAGAAGCAAAAATAAATAAATAAAATAAAATCATATTTCAGTCTTGAGAGGCTTGTTTTTTGCAGAATTTTTTTCCCTTTTAGTTGAGGCTGCAGATATTGTTCAAATGAAATGTTCCTTGAGTATAGTAAAAGTCATGGAATGTCCTAAAAGCTAGCTAGCTTAACTGCTACATAAAATGCAAAGCAAAATGAAAAACACATGTATATTTATTAAAAACTGAATTGAAAACAAGAAATAATTCAGAAGCATATATGCCCCCCCCCCCTTCCCCCATGTGGCAATATGTATTAAAAAGGGCAAAATGATATCTCCCCCCCCCCCTTTTCAAGGGGTTCATAAATAGTTACAACAGATTATTCACAATCATTTATTATAAACTTTGACAAATATAAATCTTCATGCATTATATTTTTCAAAATGGGTAAAAAAAAATGACAATTGCATTACATGAGATCATGTGATTATGACAGTACAAAACAAATTTAAGTTTTGTTGAATCACATACTGGTACTAAATTTGTATGTGGTCATCAAATTGCACTTGTTAAAATGTCAAAATCTATACTTGTTCTCATTAACAGATCAAATTTATTTTGCTTAAATAAGTAAATCATTGGGTGGACAGGACAGAATATTCTATTAGCTCTGTATATATCACTGCATGCATAAAATATTACACACTTATTTACCCAAAAATAATAACCCATCTCTGTGACAATAAACAGAGATCTCCAAAAATAATACAATCTCTAAGATTCCTTTGTTCTATTCAGACTCATGTGATGTTGACTTCATGGTTATTAATGAAGAAGCTTTCCATTTCTTGCTGCTGTGACGTTAACACTGAACTTTGCTGTTATGTAATTGTATATCATTCACCGCGACAGGCCCATGTCAAAGATTATTTTCTCTGCCTTCATTAAAGTCGTACTAGGATCTTACCACACCAGAGTTTAAGCGAACATCTTTCTAAATTCTTAAGATCTCTCAGAATCCATTAATATTATTTTCATACATTAAAACTTATGTAAAAACGCATTTATTTCTTACAACATAAATGTCACCTTAATCGTAACCACCCAAATTTGCATATGTGTACTTGATGCAGTTGATTTCAGATTTCAACAGAATGCAAAATTGCAAGTAACGGTATGTACTACTTAAAAGAAAAAAAAAATGGGGGGGGGGGGGGAGTTGCAAAGTGTGTTTTTTTTATTTTATTAATTACTTTTATGAAATTTCATGCAACAGTGCATTTTGTTTTGATTGATATTTTTTAAATCATATATTCATATAGTGTTTTTCACTACATGTATTTACCTTATTAAGTTTTTGCTTCTTGTCTTCCTCAATCCCTGAACTTGCTGTACAGAATATTGGAACCACTACTTTTTCCAAACTGATCTTTAACTCACCAGCATTTTTTCTTATGCTGCAAAGGTGCATAAGATAAAAAAGAAATGTAATTTATCATAATCATTATGACAACAATCAATAAACTTATAGCCTGTCATAACAGCCAACATTGGGAGGAACAAATGTTGTGAGTAGATTTTGGACTTACCAGTGGTGTAATAGATCATTTATTAGGTAAATCAAGTGTAAGCGCATCTCAAATAATGCATCCTTGGATGTGATCCTGCGTAAAAAAGACACGAAGAAAACATCTAATTATCTAGTAAAGTAAAACTGTTTAATTAAAAGGATTATCATACATGTACAATTAGGTACAGAAGAACTTGCTGATCTGAAACATCATAATATCTATCAATACCAGGAAAAGCTTGAAGTAAGTTCACATTCCAAATTGAATTATACATGCCCAACCTCAGTATCTTGATTATTTCAAAGCTTTTAGAGAGTTGTACAGTAAACTTGGTTATAAAAGACTTGCTTAGATCTGTTATAAGGAATTTTTTTAAAATCCTGTAGAAGACTTTTCGCTATGTTTCTTAACCAGATGTACAGAATTTTGGTTATAAGGTCTTAGGAAAGAAAATTCAAGGTTCCAGTGATTTCTAACACCCAGTTTCCCTGTACCATGTTGAGATTTCAAGATTTTGACAGTATGAAGGCATTGAGACACAACACTCACCTGAATCATCCTTCTCATTAAACAAACATTTAAATGAATGTAACTATGAATGTAACTCCTAATTGTGGTCAATGATTTCAACAATTTTATTTAAGTATATGTATATTGATTGAGTGTTGATATCAATTTTACAAATTGTGGCCTTTTTGTTTTTGCAGATGTCAATAAATATATGTATGCCCCAGCGGCCATTATATGAACAATTTTGAATGTCCAATGTTCTTGAGAAGATCTTTTACAGACCCCACCGTATTTTTACTATTCATTTCCCTTGGAAAGAGGGCATGGTTCTTCACTTGTTCGATTTTGAATGCCCTTCACCTAACTAAGGATGATTTGTGACCAGTTTAGTTGAAAATGGCCCTGTGGTTCTGGTGAAGGAGTTCAAAATGTGAAGAGTTTACCGAAGAAACAGACAGATAGACAGACAAAAGACAAGTTTCAATCAACCTTTGGCCCTGGTGAGCTAGATAGATTTTATTTTAGATTTAACCTAATGTTTAAGATATGACAACATGACTGATATGCTACATGACAGAATAGTTAACATTAAATGATGACAAAATTACAATGTTATCTAAATCCACAAAATCATATTTATGTCACAGGAACAATGCTGAAATGGTAGTTTGTGGACAAGGAACTCAACAAAACCTTGCGGTTTTAACAGAATAAATCTATGTTACATTTAATAAATTAAACTGCCAGTGATTCTTCATATATCACGCATATACTTTTTACAATTGTAAATAATTCTGTATAAATTACACCCTAAACAAAAACACAGAGCCTGGAATCCTTGCATTGTTTTGACTGAGGCCTTTGCTACTATAAAGCAACTTACCTACGATATAAGGGATATTTAAAAATAAAAGATATAAGGCTTATTTTACTTTTTAAAAACTTTTGGCTATTGTTTTAAGAGATACATCCTCGGCTTCACAACTCTTTGCTTTAGGGAAATAAAGAAAAAGATATACACCTTATATTTGACTAGTGACACATTTAGGACATCCATATCTCATATAATAAAACGTCACAGGTAATGAAGCAAACACTGTTATTACTGTTAATAAATAAGTGCTATGCCAAAAGTTTGCCTTGTGTATAATATTTTTGCACAAGGTTTTTTTTTTTTACTCTCTCACTTTCTGGACAACAAAAAATGTGAAATTTTTGTTGTTCTATCTTTACGCTCTCAACAGCACAAAAATTACCAGGAAGTTGCAGTGTAAAATTGGAAGAATAATGTTTTGAAAAATACATGGGTATTATTATGATGTAAAAGCAGAAATATTATCTCCCATCTCCAATTAGTATGCAGTGTTGATTAAAATCTTGGATTAGTAAAATCAGATTCTAGGAATCTATATATTGCACCACTACCTCTAAATCAGACATGCAAACTTCAGAATTACACTAAACTCTACCCATCTACATGACATATAAACCAAAAGCATCAAGGGGCAAAAATAACACAGCAAAGCCATTTTAGTATACTTTAATTCAGCCATATTAAGACCAAAAAGAAGTCAATAATGAAAAGTCCATCAAAATATTGACTTGCAATGACAATTAATTTGATCAAGCTAATTAAATAATCTATAAGCAATTAAAAAAAACAGATTTTTAAGAATGAAGAAATTATAAAGGCCTCAAATGTCAAAAAACATTAATGTTTTTATATTCATCATAAAAATTAATGTAAAACAAATTTTTAAAAAATCTTACACCTCATTTAAAAAAAACCGTGGAATTATGTCAAGTGGATGAAGTCTGTTAGTCACAACACTAAGATACCTGTCTCTCTTTCTAAATTCACCTACCTATTAAGGCCAACATTGGCTTGTACCAACCTTTTTTGCAAATATTTCGCAACAAGGTCGCAGTGCTTTTCTGTGGCAGTACAATGCTGAAATATCCAGCTTTTTCCATTCTAGAAATAAACAAAGACAGTAAAGGATTCTGATTGATTTTTGTTGTCAACAGCTTTTTTCCTGATACAAGTACTATATCTTTTGTATTTCTTTTTTTCAATATTGATCATATGTTCTTCTACTTGACTGTTCAAAGAAAATGACTTGGACAAGTTTCTTTGTTCTAGAACCTTCATAAATCAAAATGCTTTCAGTTTCATTTATTTTTTCCAAGACTTCTTGCTATTGAAAGAACATCTGGGTTTTGTCATTTGATATCTAAAATAACATGTTCAAAAAAATGATTATTATACCTTATGCATTAAGTTCTAAAAGTTATAATAAAGTCTTCACCTCATCTGATCATATTGAGAAATTTTTCACCTTGAAAATCATCCAATCATATTGTAAAGTTGTAAGGTAACAAAATTAAATTCACACCGCTTTATTAAAATAATTATATGTATTGTATGGTGTACATGAATATATTTCCTACTTATTGTTATGAAGCCAATACATCAAGTCACTTAATAAAATTCATACATAACTAGAAAAGTCCTACTTTTCTTGACATAATGTATTCAAGACTATCATACTAAAAAAAATTAAGCTGACATTTCTGCGGTGAACATATATTGCAGTAATATCTAGGACACCAGCTTAGATGTGATATAGTAATTCTGTGGATCTTTTACATTGTAGGAAGAATATATAATTATCACTTCCCTGTACATCTCCAAATCTTTGTAAATTCTTTGGACAAAAGATCTAGACCCTTTCTATATTCAGTCCTAATTCAATAGTTAGTAATTACTGGTCCATACCCATAAAGTATTTACTGAAGGTTTTATTATCATTAGATAATAGTATTTTTAAGAATTCTTAAAACAACTTCCATGTCTCATTTCATACTCCCCTCCCCATAAACTCACATTATCTGAACACAAGTCACCTCACAAAATACATGAGAGCATTTATTAAAAAAAAAAGTTCATAATGAGAAAAAAATTTATTAAAAAAAAAAATCATAATGAGAAAAAAAAAATCAGCTCAAGGAAAAGAAATACCCAGTATACACCATTAATATTGATTCACATGATCTAGCTTTCATGTTTTAGGGGGGAAGGGGGAGGGGGGCTATACCCTCCGCTCAGATCCTAAATCAGTAGGTGGGAGTTAATTATTCCAGCACATTCATAAATGCACACTAAACTGGCCATCATAGACCTTCACCCCTTACATCAAGGAAACCTTATTTTTGTCTTTATAGACTTGTTGACAACAAGCAGGAGTAGATTTATGGCACGTTTTGTGGTTAACACTAATAGTTTCTGCCGGACACCAATATGTGTCTGATGGTCATATGATGGTCATCTAATGGACAACTCCTACACTACTTCAGGAAGTAAAAAATATGACTGCAAGACCCAATAAAGGTCAATTTTTACAACTTTGGGTTTTAAGGTTATGTAGTATTTATTGGCACTATATCCATGTAAGGAAACTTGAAGATATATATATCATTCAGCGTACGTCACTCCATATCATCTGAACCCAGCAAAATCTTTTCAAAGACAGCACAATTCAAATTAATCATTATATGACCAATTCATATAAAAGATTAAATTTAGTACATTTACATGTAGTGGAAAAATCCAAAACCTAGCATTTTACAGGTAAATCAAGTTATTTGTAGACTGTTGATATAAAGGCTAACATGATATATAGGAGTGAAACGGTTCACCGCGGTATCGATTCACCATGGTATTTTTTCTCGGTTTGATACACGGTGCAAAATCTCTAATTTTCGGTTCGGTTCATTTTTCGGTCGGGATCGTTATTCAGTCGGGTTTGGCATAAGGTAAAACACGTTACTCAGTATAAATAAGTAAAATAAACGTTAATTTTTGATGACTGATAGTTTGTAAAATAATTTTTGACAGTCAAATAATTCTAATCAATTTCTTCTAGTCAATTTGCAAATAAAAATTCGTAAATTAAGTGACTAGATTTAGTAAAAGAAAGCATAAAACAAGGTTGAATTTGTTTCCTTTTATCAAAATGTATCGTATCAAAAATAACCGTACCGAGACAAAATTATACAATACGTATCGAACCATGAAGGAGGTGTATCGTTTCACCCCTAATGATATATCAGAATACTTTAAACGTTCATTAACGTCATTGTGCATGTTGTGAGCTTACAGAAAAAGTACAAGTGTAATCTAGTGCTGTACATGTTACCATGCAAATATCCCTAGAGAGACAATAGCTAAAAGGTGTGAACTTCAATCTGAAATTGTGTTTGACTTTCAATAATCCTTCTGAGGGCCCCATGGCAAAAGATTGACCTTTGATTTAAAATTGCCCTTTATTTTTATACTTAAACATGCTAAAGTGCAAGCAGCCTGATCATTGACACAGACCATGAGAGAAGACAAAATCCAAAATCAATATTTCTGCAGAGCCAGAGAAAGAAAAAGGAAAAAAAGCATGAGGTATTTTACCAGGATTGCATCCTTGGTGCAGGAGTCAATGATTGGCTGAACTGTGCCATCCAAATCCTCCATTTTAATGTCACATTCGGCACACAGTTTCTCCAGCTGCTCATTTCTAGACTTCACTATGGCCTCTTCTATCTGAATCTGTGAAGAGAAATTTGTTGATCATCTTAATGCGAATCCACTGAACAAAATTTAGTAGCTAGTATCAGTTTTCTTTACCTGAATCTCAAAAAAAATGTAGTTACCTGACTTATTATCTATTAGAAAGAGGTCTCTGAAGATACTCTAGCTCTACTGGTTTAGATTTACTGACAGGGGAAAATAGGTGATTACAAAATTTTCTTTTCAATTTTCCATGATTTTTTTTTATCTTGTGCTCACAGACAGGAGAAGTAATAACATAGTTTTAGTAGGAGTGAAACAGTTCACAGTAAACAGTATTTTTTGTCAGTTTGATGACATGGTACAAATCTCCATTTTCGGTTCAGTTCACTTTTCCGTCTGTATCGTTATTCAGTCAGAAAGCACGCTACACAGCATGATTAAATTTTTAAAGAGTGATTTTTGAGGACTAATAGTTTGTAGAATAATCTTTAATAATTAATTCATTCTAATTATGACTTTAGCATGTTTCTCTGCTAAGTCATCATACTTTATTTCAAAAAGATAATTAGAAAGGAAAAGGGGGATTCTAAAAAAAAAAAAAATTGGAATGACCTTGAAATTGCAGGTATGGCCTTGAAATAAAGTCACTACACTGTACATGTATATTCGAATATTGGTTGTACGAATATTTCAAAGATCTCATCCTAGACAGACAGACAGACTGATGGATGAAATACTGCTATTTTTCTACATGAAATAGTTTTCCTTTGCTTTATATGAACCTTTGCCTTAGATGTATCCCACTGAGCATTTGTGTGGTGATATCCATCCGTATAAAGACCTTTTGTTATTGGTATTTATCACAGCATCATGCACTTTCCTCTAACAAACATGGCTCCTAAGTAGAGGCATGCTGATAAATCTTGCAAAATCTCAAGAGGATTTTAGAAAAGAAGGGCAATGCACATGATTTGCTCACTAAGTAATTGTTCTACAATTCCCTTGATTTTTTTTTTTTTTTTGGAATAAGTTCATTTAGTGTACATTAAGTAAATTAAAGAAGGCCTTGAAATCCTAGGAATATATATTTTTTTCAACTAAACCCCATCCCAACCCCTAAAATGGTTAAAACTTGACAAATACCTTGGAATCATCAAATTTTGTGGGAGCCAATTTTTATGGATTGCCTAAATTTAACAGGTTCTAGGGGACATAATTTTGTGCCTTCACTTATATCTATGAAAGGAAAGATGACTCTTAACACCCCATTTATTAATTCGTTGAGGATGGGAATTCATGGATGTAGGGTACCCATGAATTAAACTAATTTTGAGCCATCAAAAAATCTAATGATTCTACGGTATGTCAAATGACTGATTTCTTGACGGTGTTACATTTTCATGGATTAAAATGGTAATGAAAATGATGTTCTACTTTCAGTCAACAAAAATATGTGAATTTGGGGTTCTCAACTAAAAAAAATGTAGTTGGTTGGTATTTTTTTTCTTCAAATAAATGACTTACTGTGAAGTAGTTCTTCAAACACTGTAGAAGCAAATTTTCGTGGGGATAAAATTTCTTTAATTTGTCACCTATAGGCTATAAAGGTTTTGTAGGCATTCAATTTCATTGTTACGAAAGTAACCCTCTTTAATATATTGTAATATAAAAATTTTGTGTGGGATTTAATTTTGTTGATAATTGTTAACAACAAAATAAATGAAATTTAATCCCCGACAAATATTTCTGCATTTACAGTACATCAAATTAACATGGTGTGGTTTTCAAATACATCAAATACATCAACTAAGTATACTCATCATAAGGTATTATTATTTGCCTTTTAAACATCTCTAATATTTCAATCTGCATGGTTTTTGTTGTACTTTTGAATGTCTTTTTCATTTGTTTTAAAAATTCAATAACCTGTGGAGTCATTACAGATAATTTTTCAGCTGCTGAAAAAAAGAGGGGGGGGGGGGTCATATAATTAAAACTGTACCTGGTAAATGTATATTAACATATTTTACTTTGCTGTTTTGTCTATGAAATGTATCTGATGATGGAATAAACTTTCTAGAAAAATTTACAGGTTCATTTAAATCTTCATCAATTAAACATTCAGAAAAAAGTTTGGTTTTTACATAAAATACTGCGCTTGGGTATTCAACCTGCTATATTCCCAGACTATTTCTGATATGTCTACTCTAACAATAATCATTGCTTCTTCAATTGTCAGATTCAGAGACATAGCAAGTTTTAACCTATCTAAATTCTATATTACATAATATCATGACTGATAAATTTCAATTATCAAAAATGTTGGAATATTATTTATTTTGTCCAAAACTGTACCTGTACTCATTTCCCCTGACCTCTCACTGAGAGGAATATTTCTGTTCTTGGAACAAATAAATACTGGCCATGAAGTATTACTGTAATTAAAGGAACTGTGTGCTTATCCCAACCATGAACCATGTTAAGAGTTTCATAAACTAACATACTATATATTGGAACTTGTCTAACAATTAATCTTAGTAACCAAAATTCACATGTGATATATCCATCTCTATGGTTATCACAAACCTAGTCTCCTTTTAGCAAAGTGCTGCCCTAATTGCAAACCACATATATACTGAGTTTGGAAACGCACATTTTATGGATCAGCACTGATCAGTTTATTTTTTGCTTAGTGGTTTTCTTACAGCATTGAATACCATACAACAATGGGGGCAAATAGGAAAAGACATACAATATCATGCTGTTCTCATAATATTGATATAACATGCAATATTGATATCCACCCACACCGATTGTATCTTCACGTCATTATCATAAAACATAAATAAATTTGCCATATATCCAAATGTTTGTCTCCTTAAGTTATCAATTGATTGTCAGTTGTCTTTCAAGAATGTCAATCATTCTTAACTTATTTTCAAAAATATTAAATTAGTATTCAACACAGGTTTCAGAAAATGTTATGCATTAATCAGTGACTAAAACAAAAGGACAGAATTTAGAGGTGCAATGTACAACTTAGTCAAAATTAAAATGAGACTACTAAAATTGTTTTGAAATTCATCTGTATGTAGAGCAGTAAGTAAATTGTTCATTTTTGCATTGTTAAAAAGTTAAAGATTCATTTTTATTTCAAATTCACAAAAAAATTATTATTTTGGCAATAAAATTAACCAATGATATTTTGCAAACAATCATCCTGCACTGTAAATAATTCTAAAGCATGTGCAATTAAAAAGTAACTAAGAGGAAAAGTGCATGAAATCTCATTAAAAATGCATATGCACCCTTGTAAAATACCTTGACATTTTTTGAGAATGTAAGTTTTTAAAATTTATTGAGACGATTTAAAGGTCAGTAAAATGTAGTGGAATTAAATTAGATTAATTTTAGACCTGTTGTTGCTGTATGAAGCTCTGGTACTGTGCTGCAAGGTTTTGTTCACTCTGTTGTATTTGTTGGTCCATCATCACTTGGTGCTGAGCAATCTGTTGCTGCAGGTTTTGAATTTGTTGGTTGGCCTGTGGAGGTTGCTGCCATGGTGCTGTCTGAAGGGCTTGTTGTGTCATCACTTGTTGCACCATTTGCTGTTGTTGCACTAACTGTTGTTGTTGTTTCTTGGCCACTAAAGGAATAAATGTTTTAATTAGAAAACTCAGAAACTAAAACATCCCTTCAAAGAATCTCTTTGCTAATATCTAGAAAGCAAAAGATTTATAAGTTTACCTGCTTGCTCTGTGGTAACTTTATATTGATAATAGTTGAAGAACTCTCCGCCAAAGAGAAAGGAAAACTTTGGATTATCTTTTTGTTTTTGTTTTGTCATGTGTTCAAATTCTGGTCCATTTCTGGCAACAAACTGGGCCAGTTTATCAATTATGTTCTTCAGGTCATGATCTGGGGAAAAAAAGTAATGTTGATATAATAATTAACAATCATGACTATGTTAAACTTATTAACAGATTACTCTTTATATAACTCTTTAGAGTAAGGGGATAAAATTCATTCCCATTCCCTGTAAGACTGGTATTTTCCAAATTAACATTAAAAAAAAAAACCAGAATGGATTTCTAAAAGTTAATACTTTTTTTGTTCATACAGTGGCCATATATCATACCAAGAGGCACATTTAAAGACACTATTAGATTGCAAATCTGATAATAATGATAAAAACCATCTTGTGCAGCCAAAAATTGCCCATGTTTTAATTGTTTTGTTTTTGGTGTTGTGGGGTTTTTCTTGTTTAAATATTTAAACAAATTTTCTAAACTTTTATTCTACTGTCATTATATAGTTAGATATTTTATATCCTTTCCTATTTCAGAGTAAATAATTTTATAGTTAGATATTTTATATCCTTTCCTATTTCAGAGTAAATAATTTTTGAAAGTCTTATGATAACTTTTTTTCACTCATATGATTTAATGTATGCTTCCTTTGATATTTTGTGCTAGTTGGACAACAATATTTGAAAGTATGGTTATTGAAATATTCCAAGTTCCTACATAAACCAAGGCTAGCAGGACTTAACCAGCAATTACCAAGGGTCGAGTAAGGATTCTACTTCTAGTAGCGAACAAAAAGTAATTTTGGAAGAGGTAATCTCAACTGAGATGAATCCAGGTGGTTTCGCCCCTATTACCTGTTCGAGCTGAGTGGTTCCGCGCCGTTTCCCTGTTCGCCCTGAGTGGAATCGCCCCGAGTGGTGTTCTTCAAACATACAGTGTACTTGATGTTTATTTAAGCAAAAGGCGTTTTATCAGTGCATGTTAAGATTAACATAATTATTAAGCACTTCAATAAAATTTAATTATGTCTATGAGTTGCCGATCAATACTATAAACGTCAAATTTTAACAATAGATGATACAAACTTATTTTCAAAAAATCACGAACATGGAAAAAAAACAACGTAATTCCTCTATGTTACAATATGTAAAATACATAAGTTTATAGTTTAATCATTTCAATTTTATTCCGACAATCTCCATGCATCTTTCTAAAATGTTGATCTAAGTAGATTTATTTGATTAAAAATGTTATCAAATAGGTGTACCATGTCATGCCATGTAGATCGTTTTAAATACAATAAAAACTTTTCCCATAGCACACACGCAAAAACCACACACATGAAACATTGGAGATTTGTCATAGCAAACTGCCAAAATATTTGACACCTTTAATTACAGGTTACAGGTATAATTGGGGCAAAACCACTCGACTCGAAACCACTCGATGCGAAACCACTCAGAGCAAACATGTAATCGGGGCGAACCCACCCGTTACCACTGAGATTAGCATCAGTTTGATATCTGGACTGATGCTTTCACTGAATCTCTCAACAGTCCTTCATAATTCATACTCAACTTTGGCCAGATTAAGCTACTGATAAACACCTAAGGGACAATGCTGATTGCTTCAATTATTTTATTTATGTTTAAGTTACTCAATATTACTGTACTTTAAAACTGCATTGCTTTCTCTCTAGGACTAGGTATGTAATTATAGTGTACTCCACATAATATTTATTTCAAAAAAATAGTACTTGGTCTATATATAAGTTTTTATCTAATTAATAATGTTTACATTCTGGGAACAATCCCCTGCAGCACCTACTTGTATGGGGACAGGCCTGCCCGCCTATGAAGTTAAGACATTTGATTTTTTGTATGTTTCTTGACTGCATATATAACTTGTAAGCATGTCTTTCAAAAAGAATTTAATTATTCTTCCCATAACAGATTTTTCCCTGTTGAACTACATCAATTTTTACCTTCTGGTGGCTTGGGGAGATCCATCTCCAGTCCAGACACTGGGACAGACTTAGAGTTAGACTCCACTCTTTTCTGTTTAAATTCCTTGTTGATGTAGCTCTTGTGTAAAAAGGTCTTAAAACCTTTACTTAAAACGTTTTAAAGACTGAAAGAATATGGTAAGAAAAATACAAAGACTAATTATAATAAAAATTTAGGACTAATTCTTCACCAAAACAAGATATTAAATATACACGAATAAAATAAAATTTAATTTTTTTACAACAACTTTCAAAGGATTGGCGGAGACATCCGATCAATACCGAAGGAATGTTGTGAAAAAGATGGTGGATTTCGCGGGAGAACTTCTAGAAACATTGCTCACAAAAATATCGAAATTGCACTATGAAAGAGGTAAATTATATTGTTATGTTTATCTGAATATTTATACAATTGATGTCTTCGTTCTATTCAATGTTTAAAATTCATTAAATATTGCGTGAGTTTTGCACACAGTGCAATGTTTTCTTTTTTTGTCTATGACCTTCACGGTCTTTTTCTAAACATGGCGGATGTAAACAATCGTACGAACGTGTAACCTACTACGTCAACAGTGTCGGCTGATTGATTGCGCCACACTCCGTTGAGTCAGCCAGTCATCGGAGAGGCCACGTAGTCTAGATATAAATAGCTTAAGGCAGTCGGATGATCTTCAGTTGAACGTTTGTAGTTGGAGAGTGAATATGTACGAGTGATTACCATCGGAAAGTAGGTCTTTAGACCTTAATGAATATAGACAAGGGTCTTAAAGGTTTTATTTTGGATATTGGTCTCATATTGAGCGACAGTTAAAAGGCAGCCAAATCTTTGTGCAATATTTTTACTTGGATTGATCGACTACAAAGCCTCAATGCCTGGAATAATGATTGACGTAAGTAGAGTGTACCAACAAAGAAATGGTCTGACAGCCAAGTCGTGTGTTTATAATGTTTGTATATTGTTGATTGTTTATACCATTGTTTGACAATTTAGCCATTAACTGGTGTCAAACAAAGTAATTAGTCAATTAACAAAGTAAACATCTTATTTTGTGTAGACAAGTCACTGTAGGCTTGAGTTGACACTTAAAAAAAATGAAGTTTGCAGTGTTTACATTTGTTGTAGTATTGGTATGTTAGGGTAAAAAGAATATTAACTGTGATGGCACTTTTTTTTTTAAATTTAAGATGTTACTTAGCACATAGCCATTATTAGTCTATGTTATTAACTATATTTTTACCTTTCATAAACCTTTTAAAAAAATTAAAGTAAATTTTGTTATTTACTATTAATATAAATAACAACACTGTTTCAACTACTGTGTGTTTCTTTTTCTGTATTATTACTACAGAAGCTGAAATTTCTATAATTTTATGCTCCTGGTGAAATTGGCAAACCCCCAAAACTAAACAAAGAATGACAAAATTTATACACTGTGAAATAAGTAAGACCATTGGTAGGATATAAATAAAACTGGAGATTTAAATGATCAACGTCTGACCATTGATATGTAAATGTTTCAATAGAACCATCCGGAATAGCCTGAGTTCTATAAATAGGATATTCTGTCAGTAATTGCTTATGTCTGATGCAACTAGCATTCTTGATGGAGGAGTATATAAGCCCGTGTAATTCTTATGATCTCCCTCTTTCTGAGAACTAAGTTCTATATAGAGTTGACTGTTTAATCCTAGAAATGTGGAGGAGATTATTTACAAATTTTGATTGTGGTGCCAGATATAGAATTATTAATTCAATATTAAGTAAGTATTTATAAAAAAAATATTTAAAAAAAAAAATAAAAATATATAAAAAAATTTAAAAATAAATTTCATGTTTCCTACTTTCAGTTTCATAGAAATTTAGTTTTCTTTTTTTTGTTTAAATTATTAAATTAATTTGAAATGTCAAAAAAATGGCTGAAATGTACTAACAACATGTGAAATGATCAGGTTTTAAAAACTGGTCTGTTAATTAAATGACAAAATTAAACGGTGGCATATGTAATATTACTCAAATACATGGTTTAAGAAGGTTGTCTGAATATTAAATGAGTTAATGTAATTTAATGTACAGGTGTATTAACATTTTGCTAATTATCCCTGCTGTGCAGCCAATGGCTGACAAAACATTGAGATATAGTTTGAGACACAGTGATTATAACACATTTTTCAACTTTAAATGCCTCTATACTGTTTGTTTAGCATTAATTTGAGCTATTGAAATTACTGCCATCTATATAAGGTGCCAGCCCTGTGAAATCAATCACTTAGGGCCTTGTACATTGAACTAAGCACCTTGAAATCTATCACTTTGTGTTCTGAACCATGCCTTTGAATATTCAGGTGGATTCTCAGTATTGCCCCTCCCCAAGACGACCCAACAGCCTGGAGTTGACCAGCTGCTTGACCCTGGAAATGGACAACGACCTGGAGAATAACAACAATTCTATCAATGACAACAACAACACAAGTCCATTTAACAGAAATCACAACTCGTCTCGAAATAAGAAGAAAAGAAGGAGGGCAGCTGACATACCAGAAAAGCAATTTAAAGGTAAATATAGCTTTCGTTTCTATATACAGTAAAAGGGGGTATTACCATAGATAAATTGAAAATTTTCAGGTATGTGGGCTGATTTTTAGTGACCAATCTATTTTAAGTATCAAATTTCAAGGGGGAAGTAAAACTCGCTAAAAACCTAAATTTATTTTTAGAATTACATCATCAGTGTGATGTCAGAAATTTTTGCCCCTAAAAATAGAATCTTGTAATTTTACTTCCTACAATTTAATTAAGTGGAAATTTGCCAAAATACATGTATTATTTTTAATCTTAAGTATATATATATAGGATGTAATAAATATAGGTCATTGTGCTGATGTGTCAAAGCCTCGTGACTTTTCCATGTCAATAATTATAAACTTGTGGCAGCATCTGGCTAGAATGAATCATGCTTCATATGTTGGCTTTTTCCCTTCGGTAACAATAATGAACTCTAAATAACATCGGCACAGCTCATAAAAAAAGATAGGCTGCCAAAGCTATATTTGATGTTGGCACTAGAGCAGAAAGGAAAGACTGCTACTGTTTTATGTTTCACTGAACATAAGTTCACACAAGAGTGCTTGTCTGAAGAGCATAATCTATGCAAGATGTGCATAATAACAACATTTTTTCCTGTAGGAAAATGTGTATTGCATCAGTGTCAATTTATATTGCAGACCTTTACAGACCAACTGGGGAAATGCTTGGGAATGGATCTTATGCATCTGTACAAACTTACAAAAATATCCACACCAACAAGGAGTATGCAGTTAAGGTAATTAAATGAATATAGTTGTAAAATGTTATAATTTAATAAATTAATGCTTTTGAGGGGAAAAAATATATGTGATGAAGGTACTTTATTAATTTTTTTTTTTATTTGCAGATCATAGAAAAAGATAATGGAAGATCAAGAAGCAAAGTTTTCAAAGAGATTGAGATATTCCATTTGTGCCAAGGACACGATAACATCTTGCAGCTATATGAATATTTTGAAGAGGCTGAGCGGTTCTACCTTGTGTTTGATAAAATGCAAGGAGGTAAGAAGAACACTCCAATTTATTTCTATATCCTTGTTAAATGGTTAACCACAATTCTAAAATCATGGATCTGCACAGACCATTGCAAAATGAAAGATCCTTTTATTGATAGGAAAACTAGGCCATTGGTGTTTATTTTGTGCCTGAGGTCACACAGGTGCTTTGTTTGTGTTTACCTCGGGATATTTAAATTTATGATAATGAGCACAGCTGTAAAGGTTTTTGAAAGATGATAATAACCGGGGTGTTATTTTGTATTATCAGGTACCCTTCTCGCCAACATCGAACGACGAGGTCACTTGACCGAGAGTGAAGCAAGTTTGGTTGTTCGTGACATTGCAAGAGCTTTAGATTTTCTTCACCGGAAAGGAATTGCTCATAGGGATTTAAAACCTGAAAACATTTTGTGTGAAAAAACTGATGAGGTAGGCATATGATTTTCTTATTTTATTAATTTTTTTTTTTTTTTGTAAAACACAAGACCTTGTCAACTTTGTCCAAGTTTATAAAGTTTTCAGACATTTAGAACTAAAAATATATTTTTTAATTCTAGGTGGTACCTATCCGAATCTGTGACTTTGACCTTGCCAGTGGAGTTCCAGTCAGTCAGAATGACAACTGTACCACCCCTGAACTACTCACCCCCGTTGGTTCAGCCGAGTACATGGCACCTGAAGTTGTGGATGCCTGGGTGGGGGAGTCTTTTAAATACGACAAAAAATGTGATCTGTGGAGTCTTGGAACTATATTGTAAGTACCAGGAGGTTTTGTTTTGGGGTTTTTTTCCCCCAAGATTATTAAAGAAATTCATTTAAATGACATTGGTTTGAGGTAAAAGGTGACAGAATAATGAATGTGATTGTGGATTTTCAGGTATATCATGCTGTGTGGGTGCCCCCCATTTTATGGTCAGTGTGGCGAAGATTGTGGATGGGAGAGAGGAGAGACTTGCCAAGACTGTCAGGACAGTCTCTTCACCAGGATCCAGGATGGCATCTTTGAGTTTCCAGAAAATGAGTGGAGTGACATCTCTGAAGAAGCCAAGGATTTGATCCGTAAACTGTTAGTTAGGGAACCCAGAAAGAGACTGTCAGCTGTGGAGGTTCTTCACCACCCCTGGGTCCAGTCTCCTCCTGCAGCCACTCCCTTGGCAACACCCAGAGTGCTTACCAGGTATGTATTACTCAGCTGTAACACAATCTTGAGTCACCTTGTCTTTCCTGTACAGTACATGGAGATCAGCATGTATGATAATTATGACTAATGATTTATTATCTTTTACAGAAACAACAGTACTAAAGACCTGGAATGCTTTGCCAGCGAAGCGATATCCATCAACCGCATGATGCAGCAACACTTGTTGATATCGGAACCAGCCTCCTTTTTCATTGGCAACAGAGATGGCGATTTGCTGGAGGAGTCTGAAGAGACAGATTCCGGAGATGACCTCTTTGTGCCCTCCATCAAACTTTCCCCTCCCTGTTCAGGACTTGCCAAACGACGCACATGTACTACAATGCATAATCTGAACACATCAGGCGAACAGAGTGACAGTGTTGACTCTTTTCCCAGTTCACATTCCTCCACCTATGGCTTGAGTGTGTAGTCATTTTTATCATTTCCATTCAAGACATTCTTTCATAGAAACTATTCAGGGATCTTGCGTTTTTTCAAAGTATATTTAGCTATGTTAAAAACAATTTAATAGCAGAAAAGAAAAGATATCCAATGTCTTTCAAGTCTATATAGAAAAATAATATTGAGACATATTGTCTTCATTGTGAGAGAGGGATTGATTAGAGAAAGATGGAAGATTGAAAACAACAGAAGAGTGCTCTAAACGAATAAGCAATCAAAGAAATCAATGTAAGTTTGTGTGTGTGTATGAATGTTTGAAAAATTTATGAATGAAGGGAATTGAAAGGAAGTGGAAAGAGTACTTAATGGTTGTGAAAATGAGATTAGTATTTTTTCAAGTACATTTCTTTTCTGAAATGTTAACATTGTTATATTTTTTAGTGTCCATGTGTTCGATTTTATCTGTTTTTTCATGTTTCCATTTGTATTTTTACAGTTATTGCATAGAAATGATTTTAAATTGAAGCAGTCTTATTTCTAGGACTTAGCAATTTGTAGATTTCCAAATTTTCTTCTATAGCACTCTTGTTTAAGAGGCATTGTTTTGATTTTTTTGTATTGAAAACCAGTAATACTTTTCCCAATTTCTAAATATGAACAAAACCATGTTTTTGATATTACTACTAACTTTCAAAAAATATCTTCATTCAGAAATGTTAAACTTTATATGTCATATTGGTGCCATTATAATTTGTGCATAGAGAATTGTTCATGCTAGAAGCAAGACACAATGTATGTCTGAGGATCTAAGGCCTGGAAAAAGTTGAAATCCGTCATTGTTATACAATATTATACCTCTTGTCTTTGTCAATGTCCATGTGCTAAAATTAGTCAAAAAGGAATTCCTGGATGGCAACAGGATTTTCATGTGATATTTAACTCATCAAATGACTGTGGTGTTAAAGAGAAGACTGCCTTGTATTTGAGCTTGTTGTTGCCAATATTTGTTTGAAGAAAAAAATATTGTTTAAAAAAAGTGCATTTTATATGCGAGCTTGTTATTCATGTTTTAGTTAACCAATTTTTTCAAATCTGTATGTTTTGTTTTATATAGAAAATTCAACAGATATCATTTTTCATGAAAAAAAGGTACATCATTTTTACAAAAATCCTTTAAAATGGATCCCTTGTAATATGGTAGGTTGGGTGGGGGTGAAAAGAATTTATAAATAAGACTGTTACCATCAGGTTAAGTGTCAAGTCATGGTTTGATAATGAAGTATACCTCTGAAAACGAAAAGATTGGCATGCTAAGATCTGGAATTTTTATGTTTAGGTTGGCCATGTTCATTGACGTCCTTGCAAGCCTTGGATCTCAAAGTATGGTTATTGTTTGAAGTCTTGCATGGAATCTCTGGGCATGGTATCTTGTCCTCTTTTTTTTTTTGGATGCTGAACGGGTTTTATATTTTGTATGGTGTATTAAGAAAGTGCTGCTGTGCTTGGATCAAAGCCGGCGATGACAAACACATTGTGCCACGTGATTAAAAACAAATCTATATTGAATCAGCTTTGTGCTATATTTTTGTGATTTTAAAGTTTTTTTTTCTCTTAAAATTTCCTGAGGAAATTTATGGACAACTTTTGCAATGCTCAATAACCATGTGTTCTGATTTGCATTCCATACGTGATTGTATGATGTTCATTAATAACTGGAATAAGACAAATCAAAGTTTTTTACATAGAAATTAAAATTTACTTCATTTAGACTAAGAAATTAAAAATTCAACCTTTTAATTTGTTTGAAGTGCAATTTTATTGTTAAAATTTAGGAAATAAATGAAGGTATCTCAATGATTTATGTTCATAAATATGGCGAAGAGTTTAGGAAATGATCCTGCTTGTTCTGTTTTGACTTTTAGTAAAGCCAATGTTTTCAACACTGTGTTTATGGACCAGAATTGTTGATATACTGAAGCTTGTCAAAGTGACTTGTAAAACTCAGTCATGATGCATTTCAAAAATAAAGAAAATAAAATTTTACGTATTTGTTTTTGTGTGTACATGGCCAACTCCAACAACAATGAAAATTGGCTAGTAGAGAATGTTGGACAAGGGACATAAAATGGAAATATATATACCGGTACTGCATTGTATATAATTCAGGAGAACCAATATATAATCTATAAATCATGCAGTGAGGGATTAATATATGTAGGACAACAGTATTTTAGCTTGATGACTTGCCAAAGTATGTCTATTGAATGAAGGTGAAAAAGAAAATATACAGCATGATTATAAAATTTAACCAAACGTGTCACATTCATTTTTAAATTTGAAGAAGTCAAAGTACATGTATTGTGATCAATTTACACTTAATAAAATTCTTTTTATGATGTATGTCCACAGTAAAACCAAGTTGTACTTTGAACTGTGAGTTTATAATTAGTACAGGAAGTCTGAGAGATGATATTGACATAACAATACTGGTAAATAAACTTTGGCTGCTTAATGACAGGAAATGTTGTTCTAGAATTTAGAGAGACTATCTTCTGTACCTTGATAGTGTTTTTACAATTGTAGGTTTTAGGAAAAAAACATTCATGGTATGTCTTTACATAGTTTTTTTACGATACCTTGAATGCAACTTATACCTGCAGAGTTCTTTTACACAGCAGGTCTAATGTATAATGCCCTGGGGCCCGTTTTACAAAAGACCAAAAACTTTAGTCGATAGTAAAATCTTGCAAATTTAGTGTTTTTGTTGAAAATTGCTTGCAAAAAATTATCAATCTATTTGATAAGAAAAATTAAAACCATTTTCAAATTAGCATAATGTCAAAAAGAAAGTCTTTCGCAAAATTACATTTTGGTCTTAGTTCTTTGTAAAATGGGGCCCTGGTTTATTTTTAGATATATAATCCTTCAGGTAATTGATGAAAAACAACAAAAATTCACAGTTCTGCTTTAATTCAACAGTATTGATTAACAAGCCATAACAATAAAATCAAAGCACCAATGATGCAAAAATAATTGATTAGATAACTCCAATCATCCATGCACTCCCTCCCTCAGGCCCACACTACAAAGGAAGAGGTACAGTTAGTGCTAATGAACCATCATAACAAACTCCTGGGGCAAAATTACAGTATCAAAGTCTTTGTATGTTTGGTGAGAAAATTTTCCACTCTTTATGGGACCCTAACCTACTTTGTCAGAGGCATTCATAGAAGAGAAAGTTATTGGAATTAATTAACACATTTTCTTTGACTGCACTTAACACTTGGGTTATAGGTATCTAAAGATCAAACACTCTTGGCTGGTCAGTATTTCACACCCTTCATGTGGCCAGACTTCATCAAACAACAACCCAACACCAGTCCTCTTCATCAGTCATTTAAGTAAGTGGATTAACTGTTGATGAGGTTACATCATTTGCTGTAGCCAAATTTATAATGGGGAGGTGATCTAAGACCCCAATCATACCACCTGACTCCCTCCCATTATCTGGTTAATCCCCACTTAACCTATTTTTGTCAACACACTTGTTGAAAATAAATGAAATTATGTCAACATGGAAAGATGGCAAAAATCCAAGGACCCGGTCACCGCATATGTATAGTTCTTGCAAAATCTGAACATGATAACCCTGATAAACATATCTGAATTGTTGTTATACAGTGGATATCTGTGAGGCAATACTTGACCCGTGCAGACTTGACACAGAAAATGGGGGTCAAGTTTGTTTTTGTACCCAGTGCATCAACAAACCTGAGCCCCATTTAATATGTAAATGAACAGTACAGGTACACAGTAATCAAATCAAAATTAAAAAAGTATTTTGTGCACATTAATAAAACATGCGAAGTACAATAAAAATATTAAATTAATTAAAAATTAAAGAATAATTATAACACATATGGCTTTGGAGTGTTTTGTTGAACATAAAGGACAGCTAAATAAAGATTAAAAAATGCACTTATAAATATATATATTATGCAAAATGTTTCTAATATGTGTTCATCAATGTATTAATTCAAGCCTTATTTTAGAATTAAAGTAGCTACAATGTCTTTTAACACTAGTGTACTATTGAACATGTCTACGTGATGACTGTGGGTGCATCTCTCCCCGTCAGCTTGGAAAGCTGGGATACATCGAGTGCAATATCAATCAGTGGACGCAATACAACCTGCAAGAAGAACACAATAAATCGAGTGAATATTGCATTGTGATTTATTTGCATCGGGTATCAGACTTCTAGTTTAACAAAGTTTTAAGATTATGCATGCGCATTCAAGAACTTTTAAAATCCAAGAAGAAATAAATTATAAGTATCTTACTAATAATAGCAGGAATTACTCCCTTGTGTACATATATGTGTCTTCCAAGATCTTATGAACAACTTAGCAATATAATTGTCAGACGGCACTACCTTAAGCTAGTGAAATGAAATAAAACCTTGGCAATGTTTCAATATCTATTACTTTTATAAAAGAAATAAAATTTGGAATGTAAATATAAGTGTTGTTTCTCATAATAAACTTCTTAAATAAATGGAAGAAAAGTGTATCTAGAGTTATAGAGAGACAGTTTAGTTTTTTAAAATGCTTGATGAATTTTTCAAGATGCTCCCAAGCATAAGCTAAAATTTCAGTTCAAAATGTCTATTAAAAAGGGAAAGACAAGTGCAAGTATTGGTTGCCTAATTTCACTCAAATACCTTTTACACACCTTGAAAGATGAGCTATCGATTGACAAAACTGATATGAGTGAGAAAATAATTCTTATTTTTTTATTGTAAATCTTTATTAGATGTTTGTATTATTACACAGGTATAAAAGCTAGGATTAATTAATTAGGATAATTTAAAAGCTGTAGTGTTCGTGAATATGGAACACAGATGATAAAAGAATTTATTGGATTCATAAATTATGCTTACAACATGAGGAGGGCAGAAATAATTGACAAACAATATAATAAAATGGCAGTAAATTAACACCCCCTTATCTCATTATCTAATTAATCAGAATGAAAAACAATCCATAATTCTTAACACCACAGTAATATAGCTTGGTAGAAGTATTTTAGATACTTTATATACAGTCGTGCCTCATAAATATGGACACTTGTGTTTCCAAGCAAATTCTCCAGATTAATAAATCAATATATAAAATTGATAAATTGGTATATATATATAGATATAAATTATCCCCCCCCCCCCCCCCCCGATTTCATCTGAAAAGTGAAGTGTCCAGATTATTCGTGTCCAGATTATTGGGGTACAGATTATTGGCATCCGGATTATTGGTGTCCGGATTGTTGGCATACAGATTAAAGGCTCCACTGTATTTATATTTTCACATACATGTTCATGCACATCTCTCATTTTATATGTAAACAATAGTGGTACATGTAATATAAAAAAATTAAAATGTATTTGATGGTACAAGCTAACCTTATCATTTATAATCATTGTAGGTACTCTTAGTCTTTCAAATTTACTTGCTTGTAATCATCAGCATTGATTGTATTCAACATTAGCACATGAAGTATCCATTCATTTATCTATACAAAAATAGCTTTACAGCAAATTAAGGTCATTGTTTAAGTACGGACTTTGAATCACACATTTTCTGTTTTTTTTACTTATACTAAATTATATTCTTCATAATTAATTTTTCCCCTTTCATTTAATAATTTAATATTGTTTTGAAAAAAGAAAAGAGCATTTAAATATAAAGTTTACCAGTCACCATTAGTTTCATGATTATTTTATTTACCATGAATTGCAGAAGGCAGTTAGTAAAACATCATCAGAAACCCAAGGCCATTCTTGCATAGGTTCAATAAGCATATGCAAGATTGACCATGGGTGATGATGGTTGAAAAACTAGTTTACATAAGCCCTAAAGTGCAGCTATAATTTCAAACAGTTCGTGATATGTCACATAAAGAAATTCATGTATTTATATAACTTCGTTACTCAAGTTCTTAGAAAATACATTGTTATAAATATTAACGCACGTTTACGTCAATGTTTCGAAAGAGGATTATGAAATTTATGTCAGAACATATGAAATTCATCCAATATTAAACACCCATTACTTGGCTAACACTGAAAATCCCAAGTTGGGAGGATTAATTTTAAAAGTTTAATATTTCAAATTTCTTATTTGAAACCATTACAAAACCAGCTGCCACCATAATTATTATGTAATTACATCATGACATATCTGTTCTTGAGGTTAAAAAGACTAGCAGAAGTACAAGAGAAATTAAAAGTAGTTTTAAATCTTTTAACGTTGTGTAAGCTTTTAAAAATATCTTTGTTCACAACACTACAGTAAATAGTAATCTCAGGATAAGCTAAAACTTGATTCTCATAAAAATTATCTTTGTATACCTGCGGATCCATTTCATATTTAGCTGGATTGCTCTCATATCCCTCCAGATACATCCGAATGGTGGCGCCACTGCTTCCTGTCCCACTGAGGCGGAAAATGATGCGGGAGTCATCAGCAAAGATCAAACGAATACCCTACAGCAAAATTGATCAGGAAGTACAATTATAACACAATAATATTCAAACCGAATATACTGCTTCAAAATTATTGATTGCATTTTGATATTCTGATAACCTGAGTTGGTTTTACAATAACTTAATTTCGATTAAATTAAATCTGAATAGATAAACTTTCTTCATAATCAAGGCTCTAATCTGCATGCAAATTTTTTGTGGTCTTTACCCTTACACCATATGCTTAGTTTAATATACATTTTCACTGCTTTTTTTTTTTTTTTTTAAGCCTTCCATTATGATATATAAAGGTTTTTGGTAATTTTAACATAGTTAAGACTTTGAAATGAAGTTCGGATTTAAATTTTTCAAAACTTGTCATATTTGGTCTTCAATGGCTGTAAAAGTATTCAATAAAGCAGCTACAAAAATCCTAAAGCTTCTAATATTATATTGCAATCTCTCATATCTATATGAAATGAGAATTTCTAAAACTATCTGGGACAATCACATGAACTTGTAACCTAAAGTGTGACATGCATTCCTTATAACTAAACTTCAAGGAGACAATTTGCCAAGAGGTGTGAGTGTATATAGACAGACACTTCCTTTGATTGTGCGAGACCAAGATTTGTCCACACCTGATGATGTTTTCTTATTAATCTCTCTTCGTTCTAATGAAAACAGAAGGAAGTGGGTGGAGAAAGGTGTCGCAAACTGGGGAAAAGTGTCAGACAATGCTTGATATTACAGTCCTATCTGTCTGATATCTGAATTATTTATATAATTTTCCCACAATGAATATAAAGTTTCCAATTATATTTCACCCCCACTTGCAATGAAATGAATGAATACAGTTTGTTAACTTTTTTTCCAAATACTTTAAATTTCTGAGAAAAAAAAAATCACTGAGAAGTTACTTCCTTTTTTTGACAATTAACTCTTATTTTTATAATTCACACAGTTTGCATTATAAGTAATTATACATGAAGACAATTCAGTACTTAAGGTGTGTGTGGCAAATACTATTGTGTACCAATAAGCAACAGGATGCTGTCGTAAGTGGGAGTATGTACACTAGGTGTATGTGTTCTACATCTCGTGATGCTTCAAGTTGACCGCAATGAATGATGCAACCTGTTTTTCACTGAATTTCTGATGAAATATGTCAGGAAATGTTGAAGATGGGTGAAGAAAGAAGTGATGTAAATTGGGGTAGTGGCAGTAACCAAGGTCCTGTTTATTTGCTTCCAAATGTACTTAATATAACAGTGGTCAATTTATAGCGAGAAGGAGGGGTTATAATTTTAGCTCACCTGGTTCTTACTGACACTGTTGTCTACAGGGTCTGTGTAGGAGAAATTGTCTGCCTTGGCTAATGTGTAGGATTTGTCCCCAGAACTGAACACTTTTCCAATATTTGATTGATCAGCAACATATGCATTTAAATTTGCCATCATTTTATTGGCTGGATCAGATTCACAGTTTTCATAATCATATCTGTGTAAAACAAATATATTTCATAACAATTTTTTTTTCTCTCTCCCTCTCTTACAAAATGCATTTCAAGTACTTGAAGCAACCAAACTGAATTTCCATTCACAAGTCTTTCAGTTATTTTCAGACTTTCAGAATATTCTGATAATTTCAGCTTAATTGCTAACTTAAGTTCATATATATACACATGTATATTAGCCTCAAGTATGAAACATATGAATTTCTATTTAGTGCTGTTTTGTACAGGACCAAACTAAAAAACAACCAAAAAAAGTTCTAACAGAGTGAGATAATTAATGATTAAAAAGATTAAACAAAGAACCACCTGTAAATCTTACAATGTTTGTCAATAATGTAACTTTTTACTTGGCAAACAATGAGTGTCAGTAAATAAGTTTTACAGAAGTACTTTAACCATAAAGTGGGTCACTGATAAGAAAGTCTTCTGGCAATGCATGGCATTTGCCTTTACCATTGTGACAGTAATATAACTGTGCATCTCTGACAGTTACCCTATCATCATGCTCTCAGCATGAGGTCGTTTCAGAGCAGAGCATTCACAGTATGCAATTATCATAACCTGCTGAACTGATTACTAAAAGGAACAGGGGGGATTAGCTCATTTATTTTGGCAGCATTGCTTAATTAGAACATTATTTAAGGAATTTATTTCACTATTTTTGTTTCTCTTTTAGTGAAAATATTGTTTCTTATGCCTGTATAGTAATTATTATGTAATAATAAAACTTTGTGTTGTTCAGAAAACCTTGGAGGCATTTATTTATCTGGGTTTAAATATGTAATCAAAATTCTTTATTATGATAAATTATAATTTTACAACTGTACACAGGTACATCAATTATGAAGCTTACTTAAAGTGGAATGTGAATGGTTGCAGGGTATTTTATACAACTTATCAGATAAATAATATCGACATATACCATTAAGTTTGGCACTTTTCACTGGGATGTCTGAATTTTATTTCGTTCTCATTAAGATATTGTACATGGATAAGAAAAGCAATTTTAATCTTTTGATGAATACAAAATTAACTGGAATAAATTCAACCATTGAATGATGAACTTAAAAAATAGCACACTCAAAAAATGGTAAAGTGTAGATGATATCATTCCAACACATAAAATTTTGTTTGGCTATATGAATCAGGGTCATATTTAAAACTTCCGTGAATTTCTACCTGGATTCCCTTTTCCAATAACCTAGCTTTATCTTCATCCACATTCTCTGACAAGGAAGTAATCTCAACTCTAGTCTAATAGATAAGAATTCTGTCCCTAAACAAACAACACTTTTATCTTAGATATTGACAAATGTCATACCAGTTTCTCACAAATACTGGTACATGTATCAATTTCTCCCAAATACCATCTTTTCTCAATATCATAGCAATTACAAAACATTCAATTGTTTGCTGTTGTATATTGTTTATTGTTTGAATATTTTTGTTCAAAGAAATCCTGTCATGACTATGCCTATTTAAATCTTCTTTTATATTAGTATACTTTGTATTACTTCAAGTACCGGACATGGTAGCTAGTGGTTGGGCACTCACTTTGTGATCGGAAGGTTCAAGTTTGATTCTCATTCCCCCTGCTACATTAAACCAAGGACATTTAATATAGGTAGCAACTCTTCCTTGACAAAGCACCCAGCATTAGAAGTGAAAGTCATGGGTCTTTCCAAGGAGACCTTAAAAACCAAAGTCCTTTGTCACAGTAGTTGTTAATTAGTAGAATAAAGAACCCTCACTGCTACAGCAAAAAGTGCCATGCAAAGGTCAAAATTTCTGGCACTTCACCCAAAGCAGGTGACATCTCTGCATGATCGAGTGATAAATTCTCAAATAGGACAATATTGATATACATGTAAAACACACACACCCCCAAAAATTCCTGTTATTTAATTTTTGTTCTTTTTCTATATTTTATACATGACTATATCTACTATAATATGTATATGCACATTCTGGACAAAATCATACGAGTAGCCTGAAACAATTTAGAAAAAACTTTTATTGAAAAACTTTGATTCATTTTAGATTTGAAAAAAAAAATTTTTAAGACCTTCCCCCCTTCTTTCCTCTTTGCAATACAGGCCATTCCAGCTTTCTGAAACCCAACTACCCTCAAATACTAATTCATTCATGTACAAATACTATAAGAGTGTATGTGTTGTATTTATAGTAAAACTTGATCATTTCTAAGGATTTTATGGCCATGTGTTTGGTTCGAAGCCCATACACGTTTAGGTTACTTATAGTCACTTAGTTCTCTTCCAAATCATATCTGCATGAATTCAGCTTGCATTGAATTTTTAATTTATTTTTTTTTTTAAGTAAATGCTGGCACAAAGCACAAATTCAATTATGCTTTCAAATACATCAGGATGATATCGTCATTTTGAAGTTTTACAATTAACATCAACTTTGACGTTAAGGAGGGATTCTTCTCATAAGAACACTTATTTTTTATATTTAAAAATCAATGAAATTTTCACAGAATCAAAGAGACAATATCACTAAGTGATGGTATCAGTTAGATTAAATTTGAACGTTTTATATTAGAGGCAAGGTCAGGTCAAGGTCAGTACCTTTTCCCTGGACATAAATAATAAAAAATTACTATTGCCAATCATGCAATGCCTACTTCTATTTCAATAAATAAAATGTTTTTCTTTTTGCATAAAGAGATATTACCATATAGGGTCTATAAGATGATATTACCAAATTGACATAAATAATTTAACTAAAATGGATATTGGCTAATCCGAATTTTCTCTATTTTTCTTAAAATTTTAAGATATTTTAGTTATTTTTATATGCTTCCTATATTTAAATTTTTCCTATTTTCACATATGGTAAATTTGTTACATAAAGATACAAAATGATATAAAAACAAAAAGTTTCGACCGTTTACTAAAAGAGAAAAAACACTTTTTACGGATTTTTGGCTCAAATCTGAACTTAGATTGGAAGCTTTTAAAAGCTAACATAATTGTAGTTTGTTGGGAAAATCATATTTATTTGATATATTTTAAAACTTTAGTCCCTTATTATTAATTTAACTTACATTAAAAAATTTTCTCCAAGTCTTTGATTGTGTAAAAATCATAACTAAATTCATTGTTCTATAATTATTTTGAGAGGCAGAAAAGAAGATATTTTCATATGCCGCCATTCCGCCAAAAATATAGTCACTGCTAGATTTCAAACTCAGTTTACCACTTCTATTTAAAGTTGTACAATTGTGATGAGGAAAGAAAAATATGATCTTTTAAATCTCTTACATCTAAATATATAAAACATATATTAAGCAAATATACTTTGAGTATTTCATCTAGTCAGAAACCAGACAAGAATCCCTCCTTAATTGAAATTACAAGTTATCTCCCCCACTGTGTTGTACAATCGACTATTTCAAGTAAACACAGATTTTCTTCTTTTTTATGAAGATCGACAATTCAAACATATTTAGTAATATTAAATTGTATTTCTACATTTGGCTCCCATTACTGTATCTGCCCTTCATAAAAAGATTCTCAAAACTTGAATTTTGGAATAAACCAGCCTGTTAATATTTTGATCAAAACAATTTCTGCACTCTTTCATTAGCATAGATTCAATTCATATGCTATACATACAGCTTCCTTTTTGATGCCTCGACTGACAATAAACTAATAGACAGGGTCATTTGACCCTGTCTAAAAATAACTAATGCTTTTACCATCAGTGCTTGAAAACAAATTGGTTTTAATATTTTACCTTAGGTATGTTCGCAGTGGTTATATCTAAATGTATCTCTATAGGTGCAAATTAACTTTAATAAGCTGTTCATTAAGCTTTAAAAATTTAATACATATGACAATTGCTCTTTTTTCCTAGTTCTGAAGCACCAAGAGCACCAACTGGAACATCTATGGTACTGTAAATCACTTTTTATTTGTGAGAACTTTATTTTCGCATAATTACACGAGACAGTGTGCTCACGAAAATTTCATTCTAGTGTATTTTAGTATTCCTAAAGATTAAATAGAGCAATAACCACAATTCGTGAAAATTTTGTCTCGCTAATTAAGAGTAAATGGCTATATCGCGAAAATAAGGTGTCACAAAAATTTAGTGATCTACAGTACATGTATTTACAATGTAAATTACCCAGACTTCTGAATCAGTAGGAAATGTACGAATCAACTTATACTTGCCTTGTATAGAAATTCCTTCCATATGTTTGCCAGTGATTTTTTATGCACTGTTCCACACTGCAGTTCTGATTGGCTAGGACAGACAACCAGGCCAGAACTGCCCAGAGTCCATCTTTCTCTCGAATGTGGTCAGACCCTGTACCAAAGCTCTCCTCACCACAAAGGGACAAGCGTCCGGCATCCATCAAATTCCCAAAAAATTTCCATCCAGTGGGAACTTCAAAGCAGGTCTGGTTTTTGGTTTTAGCAACTCTGAAAATCAATGTACTTAGTTATTTATTTGCTTGCATAAATCAGTAAATTATTATCTAAAAGAAATGCTTTAAGTGAAGAAATAATTTTAAAGACATTAACCATCCATGCAAGGAGTGTTTGGATCTTAAATGAATTTCATGTACACTGTATTGCATACTTGATTCAAAACAACTTCATTGTAAATATCACTTTCTGTATTTACCGTAGTATTATTTTGTGCTAATCCTTTGGAATATGTGCGTATTGTACTTTCATAAAATAAGGTTAATGCGTATTTTGTTAACAGTAATTTAGAATTATGTTTTGTGGAAAATTTTAATTCTTAGTCTCTCTGTTCTTCTCTTTGATCACTGTGAGTGGAAAATTGTTTTGTTGAAAGGAAATTAAAACAAGATTGCAGTGCAAATATTTTTGACAGTAAAATAAGCAGGTAAATCAGTTCTAATGAAGCTTCATTACAACTGCACTCATTTAACACTCTGGGATCAAAGCTACAAATGATAAAAATTATGTTCACCACAAAAAAAAAAAAAAGAATAAACAAGAGGCCCATGGGCCACAGCGCTCACCTGAGTAACTTTGGCCTTGCTGTTTTTCACCTGATTTCCCCCCCCCCCCAGTACTTATTGTGGCCCCGCCCTATCCCCAAGGGTCATGATTTGAACAATTGGAATCTACACTACCCCAGGATGCTTCCAAGTAAGTTTCAGCTTATCTGGCCCAGTGGTTCTTGAGAAGATTTTTAAAGATTTCTCCTATATATTTCAATGTAAAAATTGGATTCCCTATTGTGGCCCCGCCCTATCCCTGGGGGTCATGATTTGAACAATTTAGAATCTACACTTCCCCAGCATGCTTCCACACAAGTTTCAGCTTTTCTGGCCCAGTGGTTCTTGAGAAGAAGATTTTTAAAGATTTTTCCTATATATTTCAATGTAAAACTTGGATTCCCTATTGTGGCCCCGCCCTACCCCCGGGGGTCATGATTTGAACAATTTAGAATCTACACTACCCCAGCATGCTTCCACATAAGTTTCAGCTTTTCAGGTCCAGTGGTTCTTGAGAAGAAGATTTTTAAAGATTTTTCCTATATATTTCAATGTAAAAATTGGATTCCCTATTGTGGCCCCGCCCTACCCCCGGGGGTCATGATTTGAACAATTTAGAATCTACACTACCCCAGCATGCTTCCACATAAGTTTCAGCTTTTCTGGCCCAGTGGTTCTTGAGAAGAAGATTTTTAAAGATTTTTCCTATATATTTCAATGTAAAACTTGGATTCCCTATTGTGGCCCCGCCCTACCCCCGGGGGTCATGATTTGAACAATTTAGAATCTACACTTCCCCAGCATGCTTCCACATTAGTTTCAGCTTTTCTGGCCCAGTGGTTCTTGAGAAGAAGATTTTTTAATGACCCCACCCAATTTTTGTATTTTCTTGATTATCTCCCCTTTGAAGGTGACCTGGCCCTTCATTTTTAAAATTTAAACTCCCCTTCACATAAGGTTGCTTTGTACCAAGTTTGGTTAAAATTGGCCCAGTGGTTCTTGAGAAGAAGTCAAAAATGTGAAAAGTTTACAGACGGACGGACAGACGGACGGACAGACGGACGGACAGATGGACAGACGGACGGACAGACGGACGGACGACGGACAACGGGTGATCAGAAAAGCTCACTTGAGCTTTCAGCTCAGGTGAGCTAAAAATAACAAATTTCTCCCCAGAAGAACATGATTTGCTCAATTTTCTCCAATAAATTTTGTCCAAATTCTTTGCATTGTGATATTTCATCATATTGTCCAAATTCTTCTATTAAATTGTGACACTATTTCATATTATGTCTGCCTTATCACTAACCTGTCGACTGCTCCACTTGTTGGCATACTTCGGGCATAACCTTTGACCCCCGTCTTTTTGAAATATGGGATGCATTCCAGATAGTGTGCCAAAACAGCTAAGGAATCTGATGGGGTCACAAAGAAGGCATTCTTTCCCAAAATCATGTTTCTGTCCTGTTAATTTAAATAATTAATTTAAAATGAAAAATAATTTTTTTGCAAAATATTGGGCAACTAATTCAAACCAGTCTGCCGCCAGCATACAAATTAATTTGCACTTTCACAAAAGAATGTTTAAATTTTACAAAAAATGCCATTTAAGAATCTTTTCAAACTTCAAAATAAGATATTTTTTTCAACTTTGTACGATTCAAATTTGTTTCTGTATTATACAAGAATTTCTATTATCATAAATCAAAACATTTATTCTATATATTGGTAGTTTAATTGACACGATGATGATGAGAAGACCACAACTGTATAGGATTCATATACAACATTCCATTCTTTAAAGGCTTAAAGAGACGATGTTTCCTAAATAAAATGCATTAGTCAAAACACACTTACACCATCTCCATCAAATGCAGCACCAAAGTCATGTTGCCCTTTAGCCATTTCTGCCACCAAATCTGCTGCATAGGTCAGATTAGGGTCTGGGTGTTTTCCTCCAAAGTCTTCTAGGGGGATACAGTTGACCACACTTGATTCTGGGGCACCAAGCTCTTCACAAAATACTTTTTTAGCATATGGCCCCATAACTGTAATAGAGAGAATGGTACAAAGTATTAAGTTAAAATTTTAATTAAAAAATACTTTTAATTTGAATTTAAAGAACTTTTTTACTTAAATTGCAAAAATATATGTTCAACACTTCATAATTAACAGTGTTCTTTAGTACATATATTCTTTTTATTGTATATAAGTCTAACCAAACAAAACCTTACTACAAATTAATTTTAATATCTGAAGTCTTTTAATTATCGCGATCATTTATTTTTGTATGCATGTACTCTTATTATATTTTTCTTCTTATTCATTGTATCAATTTTTTTAAATTTCAGAAACCATTTGGTTCAGTTCTTTATTGGTAAATCACATCTTAATTCGACACAGAAAAGATCAGACAGATGTTTAAAAAACACTAAATTAAACACTTCATTGGAAATATTGAAGATCATTAATTCATTTAACAATGTGAGAAACAAAAGTCCAATGACAAGAAAACAATCTGACATTTTCTTCTTTAATTAATTAAAGCCAATATGGAGATCAAGGAAGAACATGTCTTGGCTATATTTTAGTTTAATATGGAAAATCTAAGAAAAAGATACCTGCAAATATGACATTTTTTGTCAGCTAGTAGAAATTATTATATTAACAGGTCCACAATAATTACAGTACCAAGACTTATGGATTTTTTTTATAACTATCATTTGCTTATATTTGTACTTTTTTGAAGTTTGAAATTTTCATATATTTTAAAATGTTAAATAATATGTGAAACATAATACCTATTATAATTATCAGCCAATTTTTAAATGTCTTGGGGAAAAAAAATAAAACCTTAAATATATTGGTTTGTAAAAGTATGCCATCATATCCTGATCATTTTACAATAAAACAACTTTTAGAATGATATATTATTACTGGTACATATGGATTAATAGATTGAAAAAAAAAAAATTCAAAAAAACCTCATGATAGAATCTAAATATTTTTTAGCAACAATAAAACATGTGCAATTGGTTTTACAAATTTCTATATCAATACTTTTTTTAAGTATCCTATGTCCTTAATTAAAAAGATTCTACTGTATTTTGTTAAGCTGATGACTAATGTTAAAGCAGGGTAGGGTAGAATATGGTTTAGTCTATGTATACAATTAACACTGGCATCATGAGTCTGAAGATAAATATGTCTGCTATATGATGACAGTTTCTGGGTTTGTACCCATACTACGCTGTAGTAAAGCATTATGCAACTGACATGTGTAATTTTCTGTAACCCCCTTGTACCCGTCATCAGATGAATATTATGTGGCTTTTATCAACAGCCAATCAAAAATAAGCAAGATTTCCCCATAGCAATTAGGAAGATATGATGGTCCAATCACTTGGGTGGAAATATATAAATTGATACACAACTTGTTTGACAGCTAGAGGCAATGATTAATTAATGTGATTTTGTAAGGAGATGATGTCTACATTTTGTACAGTTTGCTTCTTGGTTTAGCTAATGAACCCAAAGGGTAAATGAATATTAATATTCTTTGAGAGTAGCGAATTAAATGCCCATATTAATCAAAAACAGGTCAATATTCTTTTTTAAATATATGAACGAATTGTACCTGATTCATTTTCTCTAATTAATTTGCACGTATTAATTAAGATTTATGTAAGTCAACTGGTATTACTTGAAGTGTCATATGATTATGACACCATACCTAATAACAGTGATCAAAATAGGAATAACGATAACATCATAATTACATACCAGAGTTTAAGTAATCTTTACAACAGCAAGTGAGATGAACATGATCTTTTATTTTTTCCAGATAGGGGAATTTAGCCCATTAGAATGGAAGAAATCACATGTACGAAAAACTATAATCCTTTAGGTCCTCCTTGCCTGGGGTCAAAACCAATTCAATCTTGCAGAAAAATTGTATTTTTATACATGTACTGACATGCGAGGTACAACCATCAATTCTCATGGTCCATGCAAGCATTTATATTTTCTTCGTGCTGTAATATGCGAGAGATGTATAGGAAATTAGAACATTTTACCATCACAACTATTTTCTTTTTGTTGGATATTGCAGCAAACTGCACAATAGACTAAATTATAGTGGTCAAATTACTGCATTTTACCTAAAAAATGTGGTACATGTACTGTATACATGCAGGGTTATTTTTCACCCTTTCACACTTCGAAACAATATTGCCCCATTTTAAATTTGCCAAAACAGTTGTATTAAAGAGATAATGCTGTCTTCTTTGAATTTGCCCCATTCTAATTTTGCCCACTTGCAACAAGGGTCAAAGAAACAAAAATAAAATGGAGAGGAAAATTTCTCTGTATACAGTATTTATTATCCTAAATAGGTTTTGTTTGGAATTCAGTACACTGAAATGGGCAAAGAAAGATAACTCTTTTCATCAAACAGACAAATTCAGGGAGTATTTTGAAAAAAAAATAGCTCTACATGTTGCAGTTACACTGACCTCCATTCATGGCATCAATAAGAACTTGTTTTCCTGAGGACAGATAATTTTTCAATAATGGAAAGTCAAATATCTCCTTCATATACTCCACATAATCTGACACAGAGTCTATTATCTGAACTGTGAATTCTCTTCCATCAACTGTGTACGTAGACTGGCTAATTTTAAATAGGTCAACATTCAGATCAGGGCAGATTTTGTATTGGCTTATGCTCTTTGTTCTTTCAAATATTCTATTGGTAACATTTTCTGGAGCAGGACCTGAAAAAAAATTACAGAAAATATACATGTATTATAGACTATACAATGACTGGGAAAACTTCAGTGTATGAGCAGGCCAATTTAGAATGCATTTAATAAATCTTTGCATATCATATTCAAATATGTCAAATTTCATATCTTAATTCATTGAAAATCATTTTTACCCTCATACATGTATTACATTGACTACTATCACAATTATAAATAGGGTCACTCAAGATTATCTTCATCATGAAGTTTCAGCTTAAATTATTCCCCTTTTTAAAGTGCCAAGCATTATAGATGCAGCAATTTTTTTTTTAATGAATTATCTATGATAGATGGAATCTAACAAATAAATGTGTGTCCATTCATAGCATTTACCTCCATTTTCTGTGTTATATTTTCCTCCATTTTCTGTGTTATATTTACCTCCGGTTTCTGTGTTATATTTACCTCATTTTCTGTGTTATATTTACCTCCGGTTTCTGTGTTATATTTACCTCATTTTCTGTGTTATATTTACCTCCATTTTCTGTGTTATATTTACCTCTGTTTTCTGTGTTATATTTACCTCCCTTCTCTGTGTTATATTTACCTCTGTTTTCTGTGTTATATTTATATACCTCTGTTTTCTGTGTTATATTTATCTCCATTTTCTGTGTTATATTTACCTCCATTTTCTGTGTTATATTTAATGCCAAAATCAGCATCAGGACCACCGGGGTTGTGACTGGCTGTCAGTATAATTCCTCCGTTAGTTTTATATTTACGAATTACACAGGATACAGAAGGTGTTGACATCAAGGCATTCTGAGCCACTATTACTTTCGATACCTAAAATAAGCAAAATGATACATAATTTTTTTTGTTTGCATTTTGTGGCATCATGTTTGAACTTTAAGGACATTATAGATTATAATAAAAACAATTAACAGTTGAATATAAATATTCAAATATAGCTTTTCAATGGACAGTGTTGTTTATTTCTTAAAACATTGCTTAATAGTTGTTAATTTTAGAATACTATATATACAGTCAAACCTCGTTATCTCCAACTCCATGAGACCAAGCAAAATCTTTGAGATATCCGAGGATTCGAGATAATGAGGGTAAAATACTTGAAGAATAAGTGGATGGGACTTCCAAATCATTTCGACATAACCATGGTATTCGAGATATCAGTGTTCGAGATACCGAAGTTCAACTGTATACTTTTTTTTAGCGGCTATCATGCTGCTTCTTGTCTGTTTATTTATGTATATGTATGGTAATATTTGATTAAAACTAATACATGTTTAAACACTAGAACATTAATTCATGATTGCATTAATCAGTTGAAGAGGATGATTGATATCATTTGTTGATATGATAGAAAAATCATAATTTGTTCCATTCCGATGCTATTTTTACCATCTGAATAGATATTGATGAAAGGAAAAAACATGTCTATAGACCTGCTTTAATGATCATGTGTTTTTGTATGTTTTGCACTGTAAGACTCTAATCTACACATGTATTACGAACAATGTAGAGAGTTCTTGGTATTAATATGGAATAAAATTGGAGCAAAAACAGGGTTGATAAAATATGTGTTGAATTTTACCCTTATATGGATTTTTTTTAGTTGGATGACACATAAAAAACTCCCAAAGGTTTGCCATGATTATAAATTTTGTGTTCACTTATTTTCCTTACAAACTATTTTATACTCCCCCTAATTGAAATAAAACAAATCTGCTCCATCCTGTTACATTCTTCTTCCCTAATGGACATATTAAGCTTCATTTGGAGCAAACTTGTACATGGATTAAGGGTTAAAAAATTGTGGTGAAGGGCTCTATGTTTAAAAACTGGATAAAAACTGTTTCTGTTTACAGTATTCAAGTAATTACCCCTTATGGTGTCAACATCATGAAATAAGAACCCAAGACCTTGCCGACTAGGTGACTTGACCAAGGCCACATAGTGGCCGAAGTCAGGTCAAGTCAGCAAGTAGGCCAGGGCAAAGGTCAATCCTTATTTCACCATATTAGGCCAATTCAACTTAATTGATAGATCATCATCCCCCCTGCTCCTCAGAAATTGGTCCGCCCCAATTTTTTTTTATTTTTGCAAGAATTATGTTTTCCGGAAATTTTTCGTGTTCGATTCCGGTATTTATATTTCAAAAGTATTTCCAGTTTAGGAACATCAAGAACCGCATGTCAAGAAAGAGAAATGGTTTTTATTATTTCTCATGTTGTGACAGGCGTGAACGAAAGAAGGGGTTGGTATGCTTCAAATTTTAGTGATGAAAAAACAATCATTGATTTCTACAATGATTTTGTGAGCAGAAATATTGACAACAGGCCACCCCAACCTGACATTCAGACAGTGAGAATTACTGTCAAAATCGGACACAAAAAAATGGATAAATAAAAAATAAAATCCTCCCAGCCGCCCCATATTTTTTGGTGACCCTGGATGATAATCTACTAATTAAGTTGAATTGGCCTTACTCTCATACGGGGTGATCAACTGTTTTATCATACTGATATAAAATGGAACAATTTTTGTAGCCCAATTTCTAAACTTTATATTAGACACGAAAATTGTTTTCTCCTGATTGCAGGAATGGTTTTCGCTTGTTAAGTGGTTTCTGTTTCACCTTCAAGTCTTGTAAGTTTTTGTGACTGTCAGTAACATGCATCAATGTTATAAATTCCAGCGGTTTTTTTTTCCTTATATAACTGGTACCGATAAACGGTACCATTCCCAATGCCAAAAAACATTAATTTTTCCCAATTTTGAGACTAAAATTTCCCAAATCAACTGCCAAGCAACATACTACGATGACATCATTATTTCTTTTTAAATGAAACATTGTACAAGTTGACTAATAGTTTCACTTCCGCTGAAATCGAAAGTAGAGATTAGTCGTAATATGGTGGGACCTGTGGTGTAAACAGTGTAGTGTCATACATTTTGACAAATTGAAAGCATGAAAATGCGAAAATAAGGGACATGGATATGAAAAAAAAAATAAATATGTGTTGTTTATTCTCTGAAACACGGAGCATTAGGTAATGAGGTTGGAATATATGCAAAATACGTTTCATTTGGTTTAAATGACAGAAAATTCTCCTTTTTTCTACTTCAGTGCTATTTTTCCCAATTGAACTGGTACCGGACCCTTTCCCAATGGGTAGAAAAAAAATCACTGAATTCCCAATTACTATTCCTGAATACAATAAAATTCTGGTGCAGATTTAAAGAGCCAAGTATGCATTCCTTGAATTTGACTTTGTAACGAAATTCTCAATTAATGAATGATAAATCTTATGTCGTGTAGATTCTGTATCATAAATGGAGGATGATGTACATTTCATAATGGCATTGTTTTTTTAGCAAATAATCATTAATGTATGCATTAAGTTGAATTTAAACTGAAGGGATTTTTAATTAACAGGTTATTATTGAGCAGTCAATATTTATAGTGACCAGGTCGTTATATTCTACATGCAATGATTCTTAGGTCATTATTGCACTAAACAGCACTTTTTGGAGTCAATATTGAGTTTTAAAGCTTTCTTACAGACTGATCAAATATGAGTATTCTCAATAAACGTATAATTATTATAATGTCATATGTGCACTGATTCAGATACTGAAAGTCTCAAGTGGATAGGCATCCATAATATGTTGTGGCAAGGAGTTCCAGAGGGAAATAGTGGCAGAAAAAATAAGTCTTGGTAACTTTTGATGTGGCAGAAAGTTTGTAAGAATTGTTGTGAATGTCCTCTTGCTGATATTGATATTCTGGCTATAAGAGACATTTTCTAACTGTGTTGTGTTGAGGTTTATACCAAGACCTAATTAGATTATATATATGCAATTCAGCAATCTACAAACTATGTGAGTATGCCAATAAGACACTTTGGTGGTACATGTATTTGCCTGCAAAAAACTTGCAAACCAAAATGGGTCCTCTGACTTGGCTACATACCCCATTAGCTGCACACATTTTGATGATGAGTAAAGCTGCTTCCTTCTCAAAGTAGCGGCCATCTCCTCCTACTACTAATGTCGATCCTTCTATTTTATCAAGACCTCCTTCCAAAGTACTCTGCACAAAATTTTCAGTGTAATTTTTCTGCAAGTAGACTTTCACGGCCTTTCTCAGTCCACTTGTCCCTGGCTTCTGACCCTCAAATGGAGATGTAGACACTGTAGTTGAAGAGTATGACATTGCCGCAAAGTATAACGTGCGAAGCTAACGCAGAAACTGGCCTTGACAGTCACCTCTACCGCATATAGGAAATGAGTCATGCTACGTAAAATTAGAACCGCTCCAGACCAAATATTTTTTTTCCCGAAAAAATGCATATTTAAACGTTATCTTGGTTGGCAACTGGTACAACAAATTAATAAAGTTCGTCCCTGTTGTTGTTGACAACAATGTAAATCAAAACTTCAGATCATTATATTTACTACAACTATAAAGTCTGACAAATCTGTGTGAAAATGGAAAGGAGGTTGGTGGGGCGGGGGGACAGGTCAGGCCTATATATATAGGGGCTTGTCTTCCGGATTGTTATTAAATGGAAAACTTGTAGAGTTTATGTATATAGGTGTGGTACGTCTTTTTTAAAAGTATTTTTTTTCTTGACTGAAAGTGTCAGAATCTTTATTTTAACAACTTTTAAGTGTATTTAAAGCAGATTCAAAATTTTATTAATTTTTTTTTTCTACATTTAACAATCCGGAAGACAAGCCCCTATGGTCCGGCCCCTAAAGTTAGTCATTTGATTTGTAAGATGCGTATTTCTTTAAATCTGGTATATCTGGTATTCAATTTTTGAAAGCCATAAAATATCCAGACCACTATGATATAACACCGATGTAATGGGACTGAGTGAAGTAAGATGAACATACTTGGTGAACTAAGGATGATGTGTACCCTAATCTGAAACTCTTTAATACGGAAGCCGGTAGGTGCCAGGTAGAAAAAAAATTCTACATTGCGGGCGCCAGATAATTAACTGGCGGCCGCCAAATAATTATCCGGCGGCCGCCAGTTAACCTTCTGGCGGCCGCCAGATCTATTTATCTGGCGACCGCCAGTTATTTATTTGGCGGCCGCCAGATAAAATATTTTTCCTACCTGGCACCAACCGGCTTCCGTACTTTTAAGCACCCACAAATACACAATATCATGTTTAAGTTGGTTGTGATTTGCTGACATGTTCATTTATGAATTAAAACAGTGGCGGATTTGGAGCCCTCCTTTTTGTGACCCAAAATTTAGTAAAGATAAATAAATCAATATTTGTTGTTGGAGATTACTTTTGTTAAATCAGGGACCTATATACTTAGTATATAGGTCCCTGGTTAAATATATAAGTAGGAGGAGTTATCAAAAAGTTCGTGGACTGATACGATAAAATTAATACTATGTATTCTGTTCTTACAGATTTATAAGAAACATAAAACAACAAAAGTTTAAGAATTATTATGTTGAAAATTTTAGCTTGATACGTTGATAATTTTCCAAATTATTCTAAAATAAAAAAAACATTATATGATCACCCGGCGCTGTCGCCTTTTAGTTTCATATGACGTCCGACAACGTCATTGTTTCTCAATGTCTGCTCTCTCCCTACCTCATACACTTGTCTTGATGAGATTACCTGGAGTTAAGGACATACGCAACGTACCTTACCTACTGATAATTTTTCCAGATATTTTTAATTCAAGATTATAGTGCCATCAGATGTTCGTCGACAAAAAATCAGCATGCATTACCAGGGGTTTTGAAAAGATATCAATTAATGAAAATTCTTGTATAATTCAAAGAAAAATATACAAAAATTAGTAAACATATATTCTATCTGTTTAGTTTATCAAAACTTGTTTTAGATGAAGTGTACAAAAGCATATATAGACATAAAAATGTAGCACACAATTCCTTTAAGTATTGGAACTCTTCAACTCCAGGGAAAAAGACAATAAAGTTCAAACTACATTGCGTATGTCCTTAAGTAAGGATTTAAACCCGTCTTGTTTATATGACTTTACAATGTCAGGAACAGTTGTTTCCAATGCATATAATATTGTAAATGGATCTATACATAGGGAAAGATCCTCACTTGATTTTGCCAGAATACTTAGCTTGTTGGAGTTCAATTTCTACCACACATGATCAACGTCACTTTTCGACTAGACTGACTTTTGGCACCCTGACTACAAATCGACATGAACTTTGCATCTTTCATCTCTCTGAATCTTTTGGGGCATTTAAAAACAAGTACTCTGATTTGCATTTTATTTTTCTGCAGCCCGTTTAAACAATTCCTAGGTCTATACCAGTTTTTCCAGGTGCGAAACTTTATAGAATGCTAGAAAAAGACACCCCCCTTTTTTGACGTCATTTTCAAGCCCTTAATTTTTTGGACACTCAATATAAAATTAACGATAAATTTCATAGAACTTACAGAATGGGGTAAAAATTGCAAATTACAATTGTGTCGTACCATCTGCCTGGAATAATAGGATTTTTTTTTAATAACAAATGCTCATATCAAAAGAGTTTTTCTCAATTACACTCAGGTAGGAAAAAATGTCATAGTTGAGGTTGCGCCGCCTGGACATACCATTGCTTACAAAACCATTAACAATTAATTGAAAAATAAAACATGATTTTTTGTTTATTCTATAGATGGAAAAGATGATGCTTACTAAATGTCTTAAAATTCATTGATGTACCTAAATCGGTTTTAATTTGATGGCACTAGTCCCAGATCTTTTTGATAACCCCTCGTAAAGCTTAAGTAAGTCACAAACTTTTCTTTAAAAAAAAAAAGACCTCAAAAAAAGTGGGGTCATCGGGTTGTTGCCCCCCCCCCCCCATTTTAAACAGCCCTGGATCCGCCAGTTGTGTAAGATACGCTGAAGTGTCAAACTGTGATTTAAGAAAGATAATGCTGAATTAAATTGCAGAATATAGGTCATTTTCTCCTTTGATGTTTTATTTTTAAAAAAAAAGGGGGGGGAATAAGGAAAAGTACGTCATAATCAAAAGGTCAGATGAGACGTCATAGTCATGTGTCATTGACGTCACAATTCATTGCATAGTTTCACGGATTGGAAACAATATGGCTGTGTGCGACTTGATAAGAATTGAAATGGAATGCGAATGCAATATTCCAAGGGATAACATGGCACTAGTTGCCACCGGCTCCATCTTCCAGTTGGGGAATTGGAATATAAATGAGGGATTGATTGCAGGTATGTGGAGAAAGATGACTTGCTATTGATTTGGTCGCGGGTGGATTTTTTTTAAAAAGCAATTAATACTTACACATTGCTGTCAATGAATTCTAAAACTTCTATTCTTTTTACTAAATGTTCGCTAAATGTATATATAATACATGTACATGTACCATGTAATTTCAATTTTATGTTGTGTGTATTTTGCATATAAGGATTTTGAATGCCGGTGTTCTATAGCAAAGGTTCTCTTTTGCACACCCCCCCCCCCCCCCGTTTATTTGCAATATATAGCAAATCTTTCCCATACAGAAGAAATGCTAAAATTATATGGATTATATATTGAACTTCACCCTAGAAATGTTTGCTATTTAGCAGAACTTCGTAATACATATACCATCCCATTTTAATTTTTTTGTGGTGTATATTTTGCACATAAAAAGGATTTTGAATGCCGATGTTCTATAGCAGAGGTTCCTTCATGCAGAATTTCCCCTGGGAAATGCAATATAGCACAACTTCCCCGGTTTATATGGATATTAGCAACAGATATCGAATGAAATTTGTCAGGGGTCAAACGGCAACGTGTTGACTTAGGACCCTTAACGTTGTGAAGATGATCTTTACCAAACAGAAGAAATGCTAAATTGAACTTCCCCCTAAGAATGTTTGCTATAGAGCAAAAGTTCCCCTCTTTACTGTATTTTATCCCCGGAATGTTTGCGATATATTAGATTTTCCTTCGCATTGTAATAGAATCCGGACTTGTCTTGTTTACATGAAATATGAGGATAACGAACAATGACCATGATTCGAACTCACTCCAAAGCTCACGGTTAGGCGTAAGAATGAACGCGTTAACCACTGCGCTACGGAGTTTACTTGTCTTTTCTGTCAGTGTGATTTAAATAAGCGTATATTTTTTTTTTCAGAAATGTTCTATTTTCATATAAAATGGATTCAGACTCCATTTTTCAAAAACATAAAATAGATTTTAAGTTTACTGTTCTATCCTTTAAAGGGGCTTAGACACAGGTTTAAAGTTAATATTTTCTCAAATTTTCTGTATAATATCATGACTTATATGTTGCTATAGCAATTCACAGGGTAATATAATAAAACAACTTATTTTATCTGAAAATTATTTAAACTACGAATTTCGGGACGCGTTTGATTGACACATCCTTGCACTTTCACAAAGTAAACTTTATCTTTAATACTTAAGAAGAGTAGAAATTTTGTTGTGTATTAATGAAAAATATTAAAACTATAATCCAGAAAATTCAGAGTAGAAATGTGAGAAAGCAAAAACAACTCACCAGTATTGTCAGTCCATACTCATTGATGTGTGCATAGTTAAACAAATTGAACACACACCGTGAAAGAAACGATAACAATAAACAGTGAATTTTTTCATGCTGGTCCTGAAATATTAATTAAATCAACTTTTATGAATTCTTTCATCATATTGTGACAAATATAGCAATATTTTCTGAATGTCCAGGAAAAAAATAAGGCCAATTTTAACTTAAAATAAACACTTTTTCAGTAATACTTGAAAATTCATATCATAGACCCCCACTTTTCCGGAAAAAATACTGATAATACAGTAAACCCCCCCCCCCCCCATGGGGGAAAAATTTCCTATATAGTAAAACTTCATTGAGAAAAAACTATATGACACTTGCAGGCATGCTTATGAACATTTTTTTAAGATGAGTCTTAAGACATGTCTTAGGATATTACTTAGGACATATCTTAGGACTATCTTAAGGTACGTCTTTGGATGTAAAACAAAAGCATCTTAGGAATATTCCTACTCTTCCAAATTGAATGTGATGATTAGGGAAAATGGCATAGTGATGATTACCTCTATTTTTAAACCTGGATTTTTAAATGCAACAGTTGCTAATGAGAACAAGCATTGTTTATTTCTAACGTTTAAAAAAAACTTTTTTCTCTTCATCATTCACCAGTGCCCCAGTGCTCTGCTACTTCAACATAATACCTATTATACATTGTTGTAGAAGAGGTACCAAAAAATTCCGG